TCTCTCTCTCTCTCTCTCTCTCTCTCTCTCTCTCTCTCTCTCTCTCTCTCTCTCTCTCTCTCTCTCTCTCTCTACTACAGCTATGGCTATGGCATCCAGTAACGCTGACCACACTGTCCTGCGCTCACTCTCACTTCCTCTTCGTCACGCCAATGCACAAGACCGCAGCAGCGCTTCCGCATTGTGTGAAGCATAAGGTGGTGACATCACTGATGTCCAACCCCTGCTGGACTTTTGTTGATCCATCTTCCGCACTTCTTCTGCTGATTATGGGTTGCTTCCTTTACCTTTGTTTGCTGCTTCTGGAAGTTTTTAATGGATTTTCCTTGGATCCGGCTGCTTGACTGGACGGACTGACACTTGGCCTGATGGTTTCTTCTTATCTTGGCTGAAGCTTTGCGGCATTTGCGCCCACCCTCAACCCATAAATGTTGTCTACAAGAGACTTCCTACCATAGCCTACTTAAAAGTTAAAACTAACCTACCTCGGCAACTGTTTTTTTTTTTAATCATCCCTCGCGGGCGATAATGATGCTGGTAGTAGCAGGCAACTGTAATCATTGTACAAACGGAAGATGTTCTTCTTAAACCACCAGTACACCCGGGCCTGCAGGCCCCTCACTGAGCACCAAGGTTTTCCGAACCGCCAGCGGACCGGGTGCACTTTTTCTTTTTTGGCTGGTGCACTTGGCTGGTGCCGCCAGCCATCGTGGTCCGGTAGGCCGAGTCTCCCAATATTTATTTTTATTATTATTATTATTATTATTATTTATTTAGTTAGTTATTTATTTTTGAAAGAAAGCCCCATTTATTTTGGAGGGCATTAGTCCGGTTGCTCATCACCGGCAAGCCAAAAGTACATGAGAACCAGTTGAAGAGGAAAAGAAAGAGTAGATCAGGTAAGAGTCAGATACAGCTACCCTTGCAGCTCTAGTCGCTTACACAAGGGGGGTGTTTGCTTCGGCCACTCTCCCCCCGAACCATGACTCATTTGCAGGGTGCACTTGCTGGCCGGGAAGCTTATTGGCAGCACCCAGACACACATCATGTGGATCCTGTAAATGGCAGGGCGCAGGGGAGAGCCACCTGGCAGCCTCGCCGGCGGCTCAATGAGTCTCCCAATTTTTCATAGGCTACAAGTTTCTTTTTCAGCAAGGCTGGGGGCGTGTTCTGGCGTCTTTTTTTTTTTTTTTTTTTTTTTTTCTTGGTGTCATTCGTGGATACTGTACATGTGGCTAGGGCCTTGGACTGGGACTCAGGGCTGGGACTCAAGACTGGGACTTGGGACCGGAACAAGAGACTGGAACTTGAGACTGGGACATGGGACTGAAGTGGAGTACTGAGGTATCTAGGTACGTTAGTTGAAGTAGGCCGTGGTGGAAAGTTCCTGGTAGACCAAAATGACCCAAATTATGGGTTGAAATTTGAAACTTGAAAACAATGAAAAGTATAGTTTCAGGTGGGCACAACAAGCTTCAGTTGAGATAGCAGAAGTCACTAGGCCAAGCATCAGTCAGTCCATTCAAGCAGCGAGATCAAACGAAAATCTGTGAATTTCCAGAAGCAGCAAACAAAGGTAAGGGAATCAAACAACCCATAACCAGCAGAAGAAGTCTTGAAAACGCATCACCAAGTACAAA